GGGTGGGTGGTGGGGCCGGAGGTCGGCGGCGGGGGTGCTTGCGCCCTATCAGCAGCACTTCTGAGGGAGCTGGCCGGCCGGTTTGTCGCTCAGTCTGGCGGTCTTGGTCCCGGGGGCCGCCGGCGCCTCCACGTCCACGCGCTCCGACATCTTGACGCAGATGATGTCCACCAGCCGCTCAAACACCTGCCGCACGTTGACGTTCTCCTTGGCGCTGGCCTCGTAGTACTCGAACCCTGACGCACGACAAAGACGGCGACGTGACGTGAGCCGTCCCGGGTGGAAAAGCAAGCGGTTGCCTGACGGGCCACGGTTAACCTATGCCGAGAAGTCCCGAGCGCCGCTGGCTTCCAAGCCGGGGGAAAAAAACGCGGGGGCGGGGTTTCATTTTGCATGCGGGACTTTCTTCGTCCTGCTTGACAAACAGGACAACATTTCAATAGCAAATAGCAAGCCGCTTCCCCCGGGGGATGTTGGGAAAGTCAAAGTCATGTGAAAACGACGGCAGCCCACACTTGGACTCAGCGTGTCCTTCAAAGGTCTCTTTTCATTTGCGAAAATGCTTTCTTTTGAGAATAAAATTGGAATCATTCCGAGTTGATATCATTTACACCTTCATTAAAAAAAAAAAAGAAGAAATTCATGAAATCAAAAAGGAGCCGATATGATTCTCATCCATCCATTTTCCCCTGCTCATCCGCGGTCGGGTCGCGGGGGCAGTAGCTCGAACGGGGAAGCCCGGACTTTGCTCCCCCCCAGCCACTTCATCCGGGGAATCCCAAAGCGGGAATCCCGCATACGTCCTCTCGACACCCTGTCCCGGGTCCGCCTCCTCCCAGCGGAACATTTCAGCGGCGAGGCATCCAGAGGTATCCCGATCAGATGCCCGAGCCACCTCATCGAGCTCCTCCTCCACATGGAGGAGGAGCGGCTCGACTCCGAGCGAGCTTCGCACGGCGCCGTAACCTCGAAGGGAGGCGCCGCATCCCCGAAGCCCTCTCGTACAAAAAAAAAAGTCTCTGCGTGCAATTCGAACCAGCTGCTCGTTTGAACGCAAACAACGCAGATCTTGCACCGACATCGAGCGTGATTCGACATCTAGTTGGAGATGAACAGCAGGAAAGACAACGCGCAGCGCCATATGGATCGATTTGTTTTCGACTCGCTCACCGAGTTGGTCCGCCAGGTGTTTTCCCTTCTCGGGCGCGACCGCTCGCTCCTCGTCCATGTCGCACTTGTTGCCCACCATGATGACCTGGGCGTTGTCCCACGAGTACGTCTTGATCTGCGTGGCCCTGACACGCAAAAAAATTGGCAGTCGGTGAGGCTTAGTAAGGGGCCAAGCTTGCCTGGACCACCGAGGTGTGTGTGTATGTGTGTGTGTGTGTGTGTGTGTCAGCTTGCCTGGACCACTGAGGTGTGTGTGTGTGTGTGTGTGTGTGTGTGTGTGTGTGTGTGTGTGTGTGTCGGACAGTCTAAAAGGCACGAACGGTTTTGAGAGTGCGGCCGCGCGTGCGCATGCGTACGCACCAGTCCTGCACGGCGCCGAAGGACTCCTCGTTGGTGATGTCATACATGAGGATGAAGCCCATGGCCCCTCGGTAGTACGCCGTGGTGATGGTGCGGTAGCGCTCCTGGCCCGCCGTGTCCTGCGCAAAAGGCCACATCGGGCGCGTTCATGCACGTACGGGTCATCGCGGGCGCGGTCAAGTCGTCGTCTCCGTCGACACGCCGTGACCGAGGTGATCCTCCGCTTTGCGGCTAATCAGTTAGCCGCGGCGGCGGCACGCCAAAGGTCGCGGGAGGTCTCGTCTTCTTTCCGACAGTTGTTTGCAAACATGATCTCGCTCTCGGTCATTGTGGGGGACAGAGGCGAGCTTGACGTTTTGCAGCCAACGTGGGCTTCACGTTCACGTCATTGTCGATGGTTGTGACCACACGATGCGGACCGGTCTTTGAGATGGACTCCCCAGAAGACAACATGCTCGATCGCGTTCTTCCCGAAGCGCGTGGAGAAAATCTCCCAAACGCTACGGACGTTAGCGAGAACGTTAGCGGGGTTAGCGCCACAGCAAGGTAACCGCCGTTCGCAGCCACATCACCGCGACAATATTCCACCACGACAAATCTTACCGGGAACGTTACGGTGACCGATCCGACGGAGCAACGGTAGCGATTACGATGCCGACATTTTCGCAACGTTCCAAACAATGAGAATCGTGAGCGTGATACATGCGCGTCACGTCAACGCGTTGCGCGCGCGCGCGCGTGCGTACCCATATTTGCAGCTTGATGCGCTTGTCGTTGCGGTAGACGGTCTTGACCTTGAAGTCGATGCCAACGGTGCTGACGAAGGAGTTGCTGAAGGAGTCGTCGGCGTAGCGGAACAGGAAGGAGGTTTTGCCCACGCTGCTGTTGCCGATGATCAGCAGCTTGAACATGTAGTCGAAGTTCTGGTCCGAGCCGTCTCGCTGGCCGTAGCGCTGGTCCGCTTTCGCCATCTGAACGCAAACGCCACGCTGGCTCTCGTCCAATCATATTTCAACGTCCCCCCCCCCCTCCCACACACACACTTTTCACACAAACACGCGACTTTGGCTCGAGTCGACTTTTGATCACGAATGAAAACGGTGACGCGCTCGCTCAGCACGACTGACAAACATTGCAGATGGTGACAAAAATGTTGATGCGTGTGCACGTGTTTGTGGATGAGTCCCAGCCCACTCCCACGGCAAAAAAAATCCCATCCCAGTGAAAACGACTCCACTCCCATCATGCCCTCCTTCACAATGACGCCCACTCCCGTGCCGCTCCTATTTTGGAGCTCGGCTACATTCAAAATCGCTGCACATCTGTCTGAGGGTTGGGGCGGGGGGGGGGGGGTGGGGGTCCTCCTGGGTTATCGCATTCCCGCCTGCTCCCGTGAACTTTTTTTTTTTTTTTTTAATCCTGTCCCATCCCAATCTCGTCATTAACCATCCTGCGGGAATCCCGATTCGCGGGGAGGATTTCAACCTCGCATATGAATTTGAATGCGCGTGGGAATTTGTGAGCGCGTTCATCATGATTGCGTATCGCTGTGTGAGTGCGTTTTTTCTATCTTCGCATTTCCATGTGAACGTGCGTGACTGTGTGTGCGTGTGTCACGTTTGCGTCAGTGCGCGCGTTCGTGTGTCCGGATGATGAGAGCCGTGGCGTTTCCATGGCAACTGAACACCTGCTGAGGCTTCTCCAAATACCGCCGTCACGCGGAAGACATCTTCATCATCATCGTCATCATCATCATCATCATCATTATTATCATTATCATCATCATCACGCTGCACGCTGGCAGCAACATGCAACGCATGTAATATGTCACATGACGACGACGATGACGAAGAAGCACCTTCGCTCACCTCTGTCCTGGGCGGGTCCGAGTGTCGCGCGTGTCCGAGGAGGCGTCTGTCCGTCGGTCTGGGTCTGTTCGTCCTTCGGGCCGCCCGTCTATCGCCCCTGTCTGTCTTTCGGGTCCTCGAACGCAGCAACGGCAGAGAGAGTGCGCGCGGCGGCGGCGGCGGCGACGTCGAAAGAGCGCCAAACGCGCCTGAACGAAGCCGAAGACGAGAAAGGGTCTCGCGTACGCGCGGACGCGCGCGGGTGACGCCGGCTCGGACTCAAAATGGGGAGAAGACGCACGCCCCGCCCAGTCGGGCGCCGTGCGCGCCCACGTGAGCAGGTGCGCGCTCGCGCTGTATGACTCATTCGTCCGTGCGTGAGTGCGTGCGAGGCTCAGCAGCGGGAGCGCGTGTCCGACATCGTCAAATGAACTGCAAATCACAATGGCCAAACTGACTGATGTTTTGTTTCTTGTTTTTTTTTCCTCGAGCTGATTGTCATCGGCGCCACTGTACCCAATCAAGCGGCCAAACAAGAACTCTCAGTGAGCGACAGCGAGCAACAGCGTCTCCGCGTGGATTAGACTGATCGGCACATTTCACGGCTTTCAATTCGGCATCCGACAAGAGAAGAAAGCGGCAACGATCATCAAGAAGAAAAATGTCAAGAAATGATTCAACTCAAACTATAATGATTCATTGTCATGTTAATACCTAGCGCGGACATATTTCTTCATAGTCTTCATTGTGAAGTTTGGTCGGGGAAACTTGCCCGTATCAGTTGACTGCTGCTGCTGCTGCTGCTGATGACGTCCATTCTCATAACGCAATTGTGTTGCAGCGTGTCATTTTGGACCTCTGTACTTGAGTTGAGATACCGCAGCAGAAAGCGTGGCAAGTGAGTTGATGTGCGTGCGTACGTGTGTCTGTTTGCTCGAGAAAGTCTCGTAAAATGTGTCAGATCCACGTTCAGTGTTTTTTATTGACAATTGATCCACGCGGTGTGAGCAACTGTCACATGAGCATCAAGTGTGTCCGTGTGTGTTCACTGTTGGTTTGCAGTACAGCACAGCCAAGCTGTCAACTGATGCAAAAGTCTGGCCCGTCTCCTTCTTCACAACCTTCAGAAGGAACATTGGGCCACCTGCTTGGACCTTGAGGAAAACTCGTCAACTCGCAGAACCAATGAGGAGCACTCTGGGGGTCGGACAGAGACGCGAAGGTATGCGATCAACCTTCCCAGATTTTCTGGAACATTGAAGAACATCAGGATCAGGAAGATCCAGGAGAGTTTGGAGATCGCCTTTGGGACCTTCGGGATCGGTCAGAAACGTTTGGGAAGCAATGGGGAACATGGAGGAATGTTTGGGAAGGCCTTGGAACAGAAAAGTAGCCTTCGGAACATTCGGGAACACTCGGCAACCATCCGTCACCCGGAAGAAGAACCTCCAGCGACTTCCGGGAGCCATCGGGAGGCTTCCGCGTTGGGCAAACAAACAAAAAAAAACTTTGTTCTTTCCCGCGGTGCAAACATGGGACCGTTTTGGTCGCGGCGGGTCTTGCGAGGAAGCTGCGGATCTCGTGATGGAAGCAGAACTGAGGGTCGTCTGTCTTCTCTCTAACACCCACCCCCCGCAGGGGGGGGGGAAGACGCACGGGGGTGGAGCCGAGGCTATAAAAGGACAAATGGCGACAGAGCGCGCCCGCGAGCGGCGGCGATGGACGAGCTGAGCCCGAGAGAGCGGGAGCTGCTGAAGATCCGGCGGGACAGCGACACCAAGGCGGCGCAGCTGCTCAAGATGGAGAAGCTCATGCAGCAGACCAAAGACCTGATGGACAAGCGCGGCGAGCCTGACAAGGTCCAGGAAAACATGGGTGCGTTCGCCGTCTCTCGTAGGCCCCGAGCGGCCCAAACATGCGGAGCGACGGCCGCAAAATGGAACGCGTCGTCGTCGTCGCTCCTCGGTGGAGCTCACGCCTCCGATGGATCGATCAGTGGGGCCGCCGCGACGTTCGGGCGCTCCTTTCCCACACAAAATGAGTGGCGCTCGCTTCGAGGAATGGAGAAAGAGCGCCCTCCTTGGTGGCGGAAAGAATTGGGTCGACCGAGACTAGCAAGCTACTTTGCCGCGTAAAACAAAGATGCTTTGTTCCTTGGGGGAGGTCACGGCTGATTTCAGAAGCCGTCAATCCCTTGGAGGAGATAACACGCCGACGCTCGGTTGACGACGTGGAAAGTCACCGATGCCGCAGCTGGCTGCGAAAATCAAAAACAAAACGGTGCGGGTCGTGTCCAAACGCGGCTCATTGAGAAACAGCGCAGCCAATCTCAAATATCGAGGCGGCCTCGAACGTGGGGCCGTGCCAGGAAAGTTCCGTGGCGGCGGAAAGGAACGCAGTCGTCCGGGTCTTGCCGGCGTTGGGATTCACGCACCAATCCAAAGTCGGGGGGCTTTTCGGCAAGTGGCCGGCTGGCGACGCGGCGCAAAGGAGGGCGTCAACCCGTGAGCAAAACTTCCGTGGCAGCGGTCGCGTGTGAGGCGACGGTCGCTCCAGGAAAGCAAACAATGACGTTACGATTTCCCCGCTCGGGCTCACGCCGCTGTGCTGTCGAAAAGTAACCGACGGCGCGGTTGCTCGCTGGTGGGAAAAGGGGATTTCCCCGGTCAAGTGGACCACCGCAGCCTTCTTGCGTAAAGTAACGGTGTCTTCCTTGGCGGAGGTCAGCAGAGTTGGAGGTCACAGCCGAAGGTCACGCGCCGCGGTGTGTGTGTGTGTGTGTGTGTGTACGCGCGCAGTGGAGGACCTGGAGGAGAAGGTGCGCTCCAGCCGGCGCCACCGGCGGAATTCCCTGCACCAATCGCAGATGCTGGAGAGTCAAATGAAGACGGTGAAGGGCGAGCTGGAGGGAACGCTGGACCACCTCCAGGAGCTGCGCAACGTCTTGCGCCGTTCGCAGCAGAAGGCCGAGGAGCGCAAGGCCGCCATGGAGAAGCTGGCCGCCGGACTCAGGTGAACGCCACCGCGCAGCTGCAACCCGGGACCGGAGCGCAGGATCAAGATCAAGGCTTCTTCTTCTTCTTCTTCTTCTTCTTCTTCTTCTTCGCGCAAAACAATCTACACTGGACTAAACTACCTTCAAGTCGTCCAGACTAGCTCACATGATACGAGGTTAGATTGAACTGTGCCGAACGTGGCGAGACTTGACTCGACTGGAAAAAGACTCGATTCAAATTTCATCCGACGGTACTTGCCTCGAACCGTCTCAATCAGACTGGCTGACAGCGGTCAGACTGAGGCCTGAAGAAAATAGACGAGACCAGGTTGAGCTGGTCTGGACGGAAGGCCGACCGTACTCCATCGGATTGGTGCGGTAAGACGAGACTCGCTTCGAATGGACGACATCGCGCTAGGCTATGCTCAACGAGACCACGAAAACACCCCCAAAAAAACGTCACCATTGAGCTACTACTCTCTGACAATGAGGGCGCTACTGCCAACTGCTGGAGTGGAGGTGCAATTACACTTTATTCTGTTCTCTTCGGCAAAGAAACATGTCCCAGAGAGCCCCCCCCCCGCCCCTCACCCCTCCCCACTAATTGAGAAGGACTATCTTAAAAGAAGCTGAACCAGACCAGACCAGTCAAGGCGATTTTGTGCCAGGCTAGTCAAGACTGCGCAAGGCTACATGGGCGTGGCTAAGCACGACGAGATAGTCGACCCAACGACAAAAAATGAGACTTTGCTGTGCCCAACGACGTTCAACTCCACGACTACTCTTATTTCAACATCATTTCATGAAAATAAAAAAAATAAAAAATCCAACCATTTCTTGACGTGTTGTTTTTGTTGACATGGATCGGCATCTGACATATGCCAGATGCTGCTCGCTCGTTAGCCAGCTACACGCTCTTGCTAGCCGCTAGCATCGGTTTTGCCGCTGGGCCAGACGAAACGCTCGTCGACGTGGCGAAGGCTCGTGCTGTTTGTTCGCATATTTGACGGTGTTTGTGCCCCGAGCATGAGGCTCACGCAGCACATTCTGCTGCTCAACTCATTTTACCTTGTACAAGTATTCACTCCTCCATTTTGGTACGGTCCAATCTTACAATCAATGTCCAATTGATGTACAACATATGATGTCTATTGGAGAGCGGAATGGATCCAAATCCCCCCGCGGGGTGAACACTTTGGCAAGGCGCCGTCATTCTGTTCATCGTGTATCCCGTGTTTGCTCTCCCGGCTGCCGCCGTTCCCTGCTTGCGCCGCCGCCGCCGCCGCTGTGATTTCGCACGCTGTCGACTTCTTCTTGCGTTTGTTGCGATTGGTAAGAGGCCCGAGTTATTTTTGGCGTGTGTGCCGGGAGCGTGTTCCAAGTGTCTTGAGCTTGCGGTCAGTCATCATTTGGCCGGATTGCTCTCATGCGCTTTTGCGAATCGTCTATTTGAGTCCGAGCGGCCGGAGGGGAAACCGAAAACAGAAAACAGACGCAAAGAAAAGCGAACGACCTCGACGGAAATCACATGATGCTGCATTGACGCTTTGTTCACATTTCATTCTGGGTACGTTTCTTCGCGGTCTATGCGGCACGATAGACCCGAGGGGGCGCGCGCGTGGCCGGCGGTCCTTCCCGAGAGGCACGACAGGCACCGCTTTGGGGCAAAACGTTCTTTGCATCTATCAATGACATCCACGCATTTGGCTTTTGTGAAAACGACCTCGGCCGCAGAGAGCGCAGTTTTGTTTTGGTTTGGTTTGGGTTTTTTGCGCATGTTTGCCACCAAGCGATCATGTCCTCGGGCCATCCCCCCCGCCGCGCCCACTCAGGAGGTCCACTCAACCGCTTTCGGGGTTTGCTCACCTGACCTTTGAGGTAAAAAAAAAAAAAAAAAATCATAAGCACAAGAGTGCTTCAACTTCAGGTGGCCCCTCACCGTCTGGAAGTGGCCAGCGGGCCACCGTTCATGTCGAACCCCCGTTTGCCAACTTCTTTTTCTCTTTCCTCTGTCGCTTCCACTGCACTCGGCCGGACGACGTTGCGTCCAAAAACAAGCAAAGATGGCTCGGGTAGCCGCCAGATTAGCGCTGTCGGACAGAGCTGGACTCGACCAAATTGCGGCAACCAATCGCATCGTTCCGAGACTCTCCGACTCGTCGTCGTTTGCTGTCGTGTGTGAAACGGGCTCCAAATCAAATCGAATCAAATCAGTGCCTGTGCCCGGGATCGGACCTCATTTCCACTTTCGGTACGCCGGTGAAATGGAATTTTAGCGAACCCGTTGAGTTTGCTGAGCGCAGATTAACTTTTAGTCCTCCATCTTTGTTTCCTTTCCTTTTGTTGAACTGGCGCTGATCCGGCAAAGCTCAAAGACTCCTCGGAATGAGCCGGGGTGGCACACCCTTCACGCAAGCGTGTTTGATCTAGTCCAAACTCAAGTTGGGACAAGACCGTGCGCGCGCTCATGCGTGACATTCTTTGTGTGCGCGCGCGTGTGTGTGCGTGTTTGTGCAGATAAGGGGGGGATTATGTGTGTTGTGTTCACACTCCACAATGTGGCAAAATGTGCTGATTCAGCACTTGTAACGCTAACATGAAGCGACATGACTATCCATTCTTCTGCGCAATGGCGTGCGCGCGCGCACACAAAGTTGTGTAACCGGCTAAACAAGTTCACGTGGTGTGTGGCTTCGTTTGCATGTGAGTTTATTTATTTCTTTGTTTCCATGTTAGCTTGTAAGCTAACGAGAAGCTAGCTATTTCATTCTAACGGCAAAAAATAGAGTCGACCCGACTGCTTTCGTGTGCCTTCGCCTCCACTAGACTGCAATAGATGTCATCGGATGAAATGAGACGAGTTATTAGACGAGGCTACATGGCATTACACTGGAGAGTGGAGCCCCCACTCTCCGCGGGGGCTCTTCTCGGCCCCAGCGTGATTAAGGAGAGGTTGACACACCTCATAATTGCCATGAAAAAGACATCGACCCCCCCGCCTGAAAAAAAAATACAAATGAGCAACGAGAATGCGGAAAGCAATACCACAAATCTTCCACAAATGAGGTGACAGGTGTCAAACTCAAGGCCCGGGGGCCAGATCTGGCCTGCCACGGCATTTCATCCGCCCGCCCCCGCTCCGAAAGCAAATCATGCGTATCAACTTGCATGATCCTTACTCCAATGTGGACCGAAATGTCAAATTGTCACGTGCAATCAAAAACATTTTACCCGGTTTGCACTCACTTGAACAATAATTGAGCAAACTGTCTCGTTTGACTTGAGCGATTTCAAAACAAGTCATCCATCAATTTTTAACGCGATGTGACAATGAAACATTGATTTGGCTTCAACGTCGTAGCGGCAATCCGAGGGAGGACGTCGCTCCCAAGTGTCATGATCCTGTTCTGTTTGGATTTGTTTTTTTCCCCCTAATCTGGAGTGGAGGGCGTTCCCTCCAGAGGCGCACCTGTCGCTACATCTGCCTCGTGATTTAATTGCCTCAATCAACCCGGCCGCAGCAACAACTGGTTGTCAGATTGTTTGGGCCGCGGTCACGACTTTTGTCTCCAAGTGCCGGATTATTCTAGACCACGTGTGTCAACTAAAATGTCAAATTGACGCGTGTCACGAATGACGTTGCAATCATTTTCACCCACTAGAAGAATAATTGAACAAACTACGATCTATGAGGTTGACTTGACCGATTTCAAAACTAGGAATCCATTCGTTTGTTTTTGCAACAATGCAAGGAAACATTTTGGTGATTTCCCTGTCAAAACGGCCCCGCGTGGGAAGCGGTCACCTCAAAGTGGCCCGTGACAAAATTGAGTTTGACGCCCCCCCCTGTTGGAATACGATCAACGAGGACTCATGCAAAAAGGCGCAAGCAGGTTGAGCTTGTCCAGAAGGCGAGAGGAGGTGCCGGCGTTTGGTTTCTTGGCCGCCGCCAGCGACGCTGTGGATTTTTCCTGAGGCTGAGCGAGCGGCGAGAGTCGACGGCTCGGCGGGGCATGCTCTTGTTTTCTTTCTTTTGTCTTCCACCTCGGCGCAGCGCCCGTGCTGAAGGCGGGGCGGAGGCCACGCCCGCCTCTCACTCCACTCCCCCCCCTCATCCCCATCATCCGTCCCCCCCCATGAGGTGTATAAAATTGCTGCTCTTCAAGGAAGTAAAACAGACAGGAAGAAGTCGACGTCAAGAAAAGCTTTTGCATCGTCTTCACTCCTCAGCAGCAGCAGGTAACGTCTGCACGCCAACACCTTTGTATGATTGTTCGTCATACTCACGTCACCGTCGTGATTATCCTCGCCATTCCTGTGGCATTTTCAACCACCTTTGATTGAGGTTGTTTTTCCCTCTTGTCCATCTTTGCGTGCAAAAAGACGAAATAAATGTCAGGAATGGTTCTCGCATTCGTAAGAAATGTCGATAAACGTGAAGAACAATGGCCAAGGAGTCAGGTGGGTGGGGCACCGGCTGCGCCCTGTTGGCTCATAATTGCCAAACCCTTCTGATAACAACACACACACACACACACACACACACACACACACACACACCTCTGCGCTGTCGGGCCAGTTGCTATCATCTGTCGTCGCGCGCTTGCATCAACAGAACAGCCCCCCCGGCCCCCCAAAAAACCCCATCTCCAGTTGCTAATTCGAGACGCTCAAAGATTTATGGTTTGATCACACTTTCGGTGGGTCCCGGATTTTTTGGGCACTCTCGCCCTGCCCCGGACCGTACAAAGATTTCACAAGCGCAAACGCCCGCGACGCGCCTCCTTCCTCAAAGCTTTCAGAGCCACGAGCGACGCCGTAAATCCAAGAATGGCGGCTATTTGTCCGATTCGGCCGCGCGCGGGCCGACCTTCACGGCTGATGAGCTCCCTTCCGCGGGTAAAGCACCGCAGCCTTCGATTTCGGCAAAACAAGCCAACTGGAATGCAGCCAACCTCACGATTTTCACGCCTTACTCACACACACAGCGGAGTGGCGTGGAATAGCACAGAGTCAAGTGGGGTCACGTCGGGAAGGTTGGAGTCATGGCGACCGGAGTTGATTCGAGTACAGTGGCGGAGGATAAGCCGAGTCGAGTTGTGCAGAGCAGACTAGACCTGTAGAAGGGGAAGGCCTGTGTGCGTATGTCTGTGTGTGTGTGTGTGTGTGTGTGCGCGTGCGCGCACGGCACTTTGTGACTGTGCCGATGTGGTTTGATTCAGGTGAAGATGCCGACCCACAAAGCGTTTGAGTCTGCGGGGAAGCGTCCCGGCCTTCAGATTTGGCGCGTGGAGAAGATGGACTTGGGGGAAGTCCCCGCCGAACTGCACGGAAGCTTCTACATGGGGGATTCCTACATCGTCCTCCACACCAGCCCCGCGCCGTCTTACAACGTGCACACTTGGATCGGTACCACGCACGCACGCACGCACGCACGCACGCACGCACGCACGCACGCACGCGGACACCGTCGATTTGACAGAAGCTTGACGCAGCGAGAGCAGCCTGAAGCGAGCAGACTCCGGAGAGTTTTGGGAGGAATTTTTCACAACGCGCCCGTTCGCCGCCACCATCTCGCGGTCGTAACGCGGCGCGCCGCGGACCG